TTGGCATCATCTTTCTTAGTTCTTGTCTGGCCTTTTGCATTGAGATTTTTGGAGCTTGTGGTCATCTTCATGAAAAGCTCAAGTTCATCAAAATCAGGTTTCGTATACATCGTCTTTTATGTTTTCGAGTTGGAGTCTATGCCGAATCTTCTCTGATGGAGGTTTCACGCCTCTATATCTTTGACATATTTTTGTTGCCACTTCTGAAGATTTCTAGTCATGATTTGATAGCTCTTGTCGTTAGCTTTTATCAAGCTTGAGATCGTCGAAATTAGAGTTCATTTGCAGAAGTTACGGCAGTTTTGGTCTTACTTGCATCCATCTATTTTGCTTGGGCGGTTTTACAACATCCAGGCGACATTACTGCTCTAGACCATGGTAGTACCGCTTAGGCGGTACTTCCCTGACCAGTACCGCTACCACGTCCGCTTATTGGTGCTTCTGTTGTCCAATTCGCTTGAGCGGTAGTACCGCTCTAAGCGGTAGTACTGCTCCCCCAAGCTACAGTACTGCTCCGACAGAACTACTGCTCTTGTTTTTCTATCTTGTTGGGTTGCGTTGACCGTGCTAAAGGGGTCTTGTTGCCTAATGGTTTCTATCCTTTAAACTCGTGTTTGCCCTCCATTGTTGACCTTCTTCGAGCTTGCTATCTCTCAACCCCTCCAATGATTCTTACTAGTTTTTGAGGGAAAAGAGAGAGGATATCTAGATCTACATTTCCACCAATCCATCTCTCCTAAGTGAAAGGAACCCTTTGGATCTAGATCTTGGAGTTCTTTGTGTTCTTCCTCTCATTTTCCTCCATAGCATTAATTGTGGTGGTGGGATTTGGGAGAGAAGGACTTGGGAACTCCGTGCGCCCTTGCCGTTGCATTTGGCGCATTTGTTTGAGTTCTTGAGAGTGATACATGGAAGTGAAGTTGAGAAGCTTATTACTCTTGGATGTTTGGGCACCCTAGAGTGTTGCTTGGGTGTTTGCATGTTCCTTGGGTGCTTTGGTGTCGTAGACGGTTGGTGTTGTAAAAGCTCAATCATTGTGTTGTAAAGCTTCGAGCAAGCTTCAGGAAACTCCAATTAAGTTGTGGAGAGTGCCCCGAGCAATTTGTACGGTTTCGGTGACCGCCCCCAAGGGTTGCCATTTGTACGAGTTCGGTGACCTCCCTTAAGAGTCCTTTACTGGAATCATGACATCTTGCATTATGCGGGGGCGTGAGGAGATTATAGTGGCCCTAGTGACATTTTGGGGAGCATTGTGAACTTCGGGATACATTGTCATCTCCGCGTGCCTCGGTTATCTCTTATTCGCGCCCTTTACTTATGCACTTTACTTTGTGATAGCCATAGCGTTTCATATTGCATATATTGCTATCATTTAGTTGTTTATCTTGCTTAGCATAAGTTGTTGGTGCATATAGGTGAGCCTAGTTGTTTTAGGTTTTGTGCTTATCAAATTAAACGCTAGTTTTATTCCGCATTTGTTCAAGCCTAAACCGTAATTATTTCAAAGCGCTTATCCCCCCCCCCTCTAGGCGACATCCACAATCTTTCGACATTAACCAAAAGAATCACACCCGCATGTGTCCATAGTTCATGAAAAAAAACAATATACTCAAGCTCCATCATGAGCTTTTGCTTCCCCCAAACCAAGCTTTTTGGGGGGGGGGAGGGTCATCTTGCTCAAGTCGTCCCCCATGATCTCCACTTCCTTGGTGATTACAGCAAGCTCAACCTCCTTTTCCTTCAGGTTCACTTCCTTGGCTCTTGACAGTGCATTTTCCTCATTGATCGCGAGCTTCTTCCTTTGAGGGTCAAAGAAGTTCTTGATGGACTCATCTTTCTCTTTGCACTTCCTCTCTTCCCTCTCTTCCCTCTTCTTACTTGACACGTCCTTTTGGGTTATGAACCCTTTCAAAGTTTCTTGCAAGGCGAGTGTAGAAGCATCACGCTTTGCATCTACCTTGGAGTTGGTCTTCCACCTCAACCTCTTCTCACTTGTTGTTGACGACTGATGAGGCTGGGACACCTTTTTTTGGTTGGCATATTGGTCCTTACAATTCTTGCAATTCTTGATTTCAATCAACAATGGACCAAGGTAAATGGCTTCATCCCATGTTGGGATGGGGGCGGGTTCGTCAGCCATGGTTGTAGGGCGGGAGGTTTTGGGGAGAAGAAAGGTGGGAATGGAGATGCTATGCTACCAATATGCTACCAACAGGTGGGCTATGGGAGGATGCCGTGGTCGTACGTGGTGTGTCCGCGCGGACCCAAATCCAAACCAAATTTAAAGTGAAAATGAGTCAAAGTAGACATGAAAATGGACAACCATTGTTTTGCGTCGGTGCCTTGGGCTTTGCTTTTATCCGCGCGGACCCAAAAAGACCCGGGTGGATGAAATATGTCGGCCCATTGAAGTTACCCTTGTCCTTACATGGGCAAAATCCAATTCGCGTGTAGCAACTTGGATAGCGACCAACTGTAAACCCCTCGCGGACGCGATGTGCACATGGGCCGGTCCAACTAGCTCACTTTATTTTTTGTGTTTTATTTTTGTTTATTTTTTGCTTTTTTCCATTTCGTTTTATTCTTTTATTTTCTACATTTCTGGTTTCATTTCCTATTTTCTATTTTCGTATTTTACTTTATTTTATTTTTCTACATTTTTAATTTCAAATGCATTAAAATTTTGCAAATTTGTGTCCACTTTTCTAAGTCGGAGAATATTTATTGAAATTCAGAACATTTTTCAGATTAGTGAATATTTTTAAAAATTCTGAGCATTTTCTAACATTAAGAACATTTACTGAATTAGTGAACAACTTTAGAAATTCGGAACATTAATTAACTTACTCTTTTTTGAAATTTATAAAATTTTCTAAAAAAATCGTTTTTTACAAATTTATGAAGAACTTTTGAAATTCAGAATATTGTATCAAGTAATTGAACATTTTTCTGAAATCCTTAACACATTTTAAAATTAGGAACATTATTTTAGTTTGCGAACAACTTTTGAAATCCGGAACAACTTTCTTGAATTGTGAATTTTTGCAAAATTAGTGAACATATTTATAAATTTAAAACATTTTTTGATGCCAGAACATTTTTCGAAATTCAAGAAATTTTTAAATTTGGGAACATTTTTCAAACTAGTGAACAAATTTTGAAATTGAGATCATCTTCTGAAATCCATTATCAATTTTTGAAATTTGAATCATTGTTTCAAATTTATTAACATTTTTTGAAATTAGGAACTTTTTTAATTCATGAACAACTTTTAAAAATGAAATATCTTTTCAAAATCTTGAACATTTTTCAATTTCATGATGTTGTTAAGAACATTTATGAAAATCTTTGATTTTTTTTTAAAAAAAATAATTGGAACATTTTCTTAAATTCATGAGCAATTTTCAATTTCATGATATTTTTTGAAAATTTGGAACATGTTTTGAAGTCACCAACATTTTTTTTTCAAAATTTTGATTTGTGAACATGTTTTGAAGTTGCGACAATTTTTGGAATTTTGGATTTGTGAAGATTGTTCAGAGTTTAAAAAGCAAAAAACAGAAGGAATAAAAATGAAAGAAGAAAAGCGAAAACAAAATAGGGGAGCCCCCGCCCTCACATGGGTCAACCCAAAGTGTGTGTGTGTGGGGGCGGGGGGGTTGCTTTCCTCCAATCTACACATCAAATAGGAGGCCTTCCTTACATGGGAGTGGTGGCGGCGTTTCTCACGGGCCAACCTGGGCAGTGCCCCCCCCCACCCCCCAACCAACCCCGACCCAGAAGAAATTTGCTTTATATCCCTTAGTATCAGGCCTCAAT